CCCACCAGTGAAATTCGGGGGAAATGGCTAGTAAACTTAAACGGGAATGCACGGACGTGTGTGTGTTTTACATGCAGATTGATTGCATCTGGATAAGTAGGTTTCCCTTTGAACTTTCCGTAGTGAACTTATATCGGATATACTAGGTCAATCGGTATATTTGATATCTTTGAACCGTCGAGCTTTGTTGTATACCTAGACAACATAAGTCACACAATCAATCCTTAACCATCTATGGTTCTCACGGTTTTGTTCGTTTCAGCCATGGACACCGCCTGGTTTCATGAGTGCTTAGAGAATGAGACTTTACTTTCATTCTCCTTGAAGCGGCTTACACTTCACACTCACATGGGTGATTCCTAAACGTGTAATCCTAAAGACACACTATCTGGTCATATCCTGCCAGACTTAGCAAATCATTAAAAAGCTTTAAGCTTTATTGACTCATCAAAAAAGCCTTAATGCTTTACCTCGTTTTTGAACATTGTCTTCATCACGAGAATGGGTTGAGTTAGTTGACAATGTTGAACTGCCATTCATAACTTTATTTGATCTCTTTGAACCTAGCTCTTGGGATCTCCAGTCTGCTAGGTAGAGTTACCGCCATGATGACTTGTCCTAGGCCTTTAACCCCATTCCCTTTGATGATCTTTCAACCGCCTCTCTAGATAGGCCTTTTGTAAGTGGATTCGACACGTTATCTCTTGACTTTACGTAGTCAATTGTGATAACACCACTAGAGAGTAGTTGTCTAACGATATTGTGTCTCCGTCGAATATGACGAGATTTCCCGTTATACATAACGCTCCCTGCCCTACCTATTGCCGCTTGACTATCACAATGTATACATATAGGTGCCAAAGGTTTGGGCCAAAATGGAATATCTTCCAAGAAATTCCGGAGCCAATTCAGCTTCTTCACCGGCCTTGTCTAAGGCTATAAACTCAGCCTCCACTGTAGAGCGGTCAATGCACATTTGTTTGGACGATTTCCAAGACATCGCTCATCCACCGACTGTTTAGAATCGGTTGAACCGGTGATCTAATTTGCATCACTATACCCCTCTATTATCGTGGGATACTTATTGTAGTGCAAAGCATAATTTGGAGTATATTTCAAATACTTCAAAACTCATTTCATTGTCATAAACGTTCAATGCAAACTTCCTTATGTTGTAGACTAATACGTCTCGATTTTCGATTGCGTATCAGATTATTGACTACACTTAATGTAGTAATTATAACAACAGCTAGAATGATTGGCATCAGTTGTGGCCACAACCTTTTAATATATAACACATTTCGTAATCATTCCGCCATTTTCAAGCATTTGTATGCTATTCATTCGTATGTCTATATGATATGTAAATTATAGCACCTCCATTCATGAAACAAATCCAACTTGCAATGGATTTTGGTCATGTTCATCGGTTAGTTCACCTCATTATAGACCAACGTATTAATATATTCGTTCATGAACGGTCTTGTCTATACAGACGTATCTTTCTATGAAAAGTCACAACCTTCAAAGTGACATCATTTCATAAAAGAACTAAACAATATAAATTTTCATTAAAGAAAATGACCTTTCGAGAAAGGCATGTGACCAACTTCCGAAGTAGTAGTTTCATCAACTAGTCATTATTAAGACTAAACAACTGATGATTTTACCAACTACTATATCAATGGAGTTCAAAAATTATATAATTTAGACATTACGTCTAACATTGGCTTTTGTCATGCATAAGCTAAAAGCCCCCACATTTTAAATATTTCATCAACATATCATATATAATCAAATAAGGACTATATGATTTGAAGTATTCATAACGTAAACACATTTGTTTACACTCATTAATTTTTGAAACCATTTGACAATATTATTTGGACAAATCTCGCATGTCATTGTTTACTAAACAATTGTATCCAAACGTTACGACTTTCCCGATTTCTCGGCCGGAGGAACAACAGTGCGGCTTGACGAGGCTATCGTCGTTTGCACCAACAGTCGCAGAAGGAATTCCATTCTCATTTGCCATTTCTTACAGTGAACAACAGAAGAGATCAATTAATGGCAAAACCAAAACAGTAAATAATACTATAATTAATAAACAGTACGTAATAAAAACAACTGAAGTTTTTATATACTATTTTACAGAAAAAACAATGAAGTTTTTATGTTCTTCAAATCGTTTTCTGAATTTCAATACCCTGATGAAGTTTTTATTTCTTCAAATCAGAATAGTAAAATTCAGACAGAATACAGAATATAATAAATTTAATTTCCTTAAGATTGTTATATATCTGTATTGCTGTAAGTAAATAAAACAGTAATCTTTCTGAAAAATAAAACAGAAAGTTAGTAAAAATAATTCTGAAAAATAATATTCGAACTTCAAAATAATTTTTGAAACGTTGAAGGAACAAATCGAGCCCACTGAATACACAGTGTGTCCTTAAGAAAATTATTCCCCTCAAGTACCCGAGGTTATGGAATATATCCTCCCAGGATAGAACGATTTAACTCACCGGAGTGTTGGTACCAAAAACGCCGATGATCAGCGAACCACTCGATGGCAGCAAAACACACTGGAATTTTAGTGCAGAAGAAGAAGAAGATAATCAGAAAATTTCGTAAGTAAATATTCTGGGATTTGAAGGTCTATTTATAGCCAACTTGGTGATGTTTCTGAAGAGGTTTGCAACCTTTTAGAATAGTCATGACTGTTGAAACAGGTGTGACCCTCTGAAGAGGTTTGCAACCTTTCAGAACAGTCATGGCTGTTGGAACAGGTGTGACCCTCTGAAGAGGTTTGCAATTTTTCAGAATAGTCATGGCTGTTGGAACAGGTGTGACACTGTTTCAGAACAGCCATGGCTGTTGGAATATATATTTTTGTGGTTATTAGAACAAAATGTTGTTATAAAGAATATAAATGTTGTTATAAAGAATATATATTACTCCGTTTCAATTTATGTGAATCTATTTTCTTTTTGGTCCGTGCCAAAAAGATTGATCTTGTCTCACTCCTATTATATACGGCTGAAATCCCAATGGAGGATAATACTAGAACAAGATCAATTCGTCGACTTGTTACCCTCCCAAGCGTGAAGCGTGGTACTGTTCGTTGATCAATCCAACCAAGGTTTCATGGCCATGCAATTCCACATTTTCTACGTGCACGAGGAACAACTATTAATTATTATTAGACGACAGTACTACTAGCTCCTCCTTCACCGATGTTTTTGCATCATTCTACGGTCTTATCCTCGGCTTTCTGCAGCTCAAATATCAGGGAATTAAAGGACATGACTGATCCATTTCAAACACATCCCAGAATCATGTTTGTTGCAGTGAGTACTTTGTTTGTTTACTGGTTGCTGTATCGAATTAAGCAGAAATATTATTACAGGCGCGGCCATCTTTTTCATGGTTTGGTATTGATCTTTGGTTCCTTGTCAATGGCATGTACTAGCTCGGTTTTGTTTCCTGACTTTGTTCGACCACTTGTGTATTTGCTACCAACAGTTGATATCTTGCATTGGATCTTTAAGAAATTAATGCAACAGATTGCTGAAACAAGGTTTTGGAGAAGAAGAGTAAAACATTTTTTATACCATTTGAGGAGGAGGATGCACGATGCGTTTTACCCCGTGGAACAAATATTAAGACTTCCTTTTTAAATTCAGCAAACAAAATATGCACAATCGTGAAGGGAGTCTAAATATTATATAGTGAAACTTCACTATAACAGTCTTGTTTGCTCAAATTAAGAGGTTCAGAGCCTTACAATGATGTTCCACTTTCCCATAATATGTGTATCGTTATATCTTTCTCTCTCTCTCTTGAATAGTAAAGAAGAAGAAGCCCCCTTTTCTAGGGTTTCCTCTCTTGGTATTTATAGCTGTGAGCTTCGTGAGCTGGCAATAAGTGGTCGTGACCACGTTGGGGTTTCGCCTTCATGATGACGGACGGGCCGTGGCCTTGGTGATCGAATCAGATAAGGGTTGAATACCGCTAATTCTGAGTGGTCGTACCACTAATCAATCATGAATTAGCTTAAGACGGAATTAACTTCGTTAATTATCGTGGGGTCGGATTCTGACCCATACAGGAAGCATTGTCTATCAGGAACTTCTTTATTTTTACGACGCAAACCCGATAATATTAATGATGGAGGGATCCCATAAAGTCCTATCTTGTAGTTACAGATGAAATAGATTTATCTTTCTCTTTGAGATCCAGTAGATGTTAAAGGTGCAGTTGGCTTCTATCGAGAAGGTCAAAGTGCCTATGGTACCAGTTCATATTTGGTTACCCGAAGCTCATGTAGAGGCACCTACGGCAGGATCCGTCATCTTGACAGGAATTGCTTTAAAATTGAGAACCTACGGGTTATTTTCAGTCGAGTGACTTCGTACCTATCCTTACCGAGAAAAACGAGTTCCAGAGGCATCTTCCATTCATATCGATTTGGGTTTTTCCGCACCATATGATATCCACCACTGCCACATCCATGGTTCCTTGTCAAGTTTGTACTATAAAATAACTTTTAAAATAAAATAAATGGAAATAAAGTACTTCATGATTCCTTAGCCATCTATATAATTATCTCGCTTTTCCCTCATTTCATCTCATCCAAGACTAATAAATAAAGTATTTGTGATAACTCAAAAAATGGGCTCATTGATAGGGCACGTAATACCAGGTTTTGGTTTCTTTCTTATTGGTATTTGGCATTTGCTCAACCACATAAAATTACATGCTCTGCACCCAAAATCCTACACTTCTTTGCTATGGTTCCCAGCACCAAAAAGCAGGTATTTATTCTGAGTAGTTTCAAGATTTAATTTGATGAGTTCGACTTTATATATA